AATTTACGTTATCAACTCAGTTGATAAAACCAAATTACCTTGTTACCCCCACCGACGCAGCACCACAGTTTGTTTTGGAAACTTACCTCTTTTCTTCACGTTCTTACATGTGTTTACTAGAAAAAACATTTTATTCTATTTCAGTCGATTACAAGACCAAACCTTAAGCGAACCACACTCTCCGAGGAATGAAGAAAACTTAATACTAACAGAATACTAAACTATAACTAATATATACGAAAATGGTCAATCGCAAACAGCACAAAAGGATCACGTAGTTAAAAAACTTCTAATGAACGCCATGATCCCACTGATTAACGCGATTGTTTCTTGTTCACATACTAATTAGCGCAATTGTCTCCTGCTTAACATGTATTGTGTCTACCTTCTATTTGCACAATCTTTCGCTGCCTAGAGTTCCATACGATTGTTTTTTTGTTTACGTTTAAAGAGCAACGATTAATTTCTACCGTGATAGAACTACTGTCTCAGTGGAGGCAAGAAAGTTTTTGTAATCTCTTGGTGAAGGCTAATTCGAGTGTAAACGCCTTCCTTTAAATCTTTACAGTCGAAAGTAGACTTTTTCCAAATAAATCTGATCCCATATATACAGTATCTGATTCTTCCAACAAGGAGTAGAACAATGACATTCAACGCAAAATTTTCTCAGATCAACACGCCTATAACTAATATATACGAAAATGGTCGATCACAAATAGCACAAAAGGATCACGTAGTTAAAAAAATTCTAATGAACGCCATGATCCCACTGATTAACGCGATTGTTTCTTGTTCAGACACTAATTAGCGCAATTGTCTCCTGCTTAACATGTATTGTGTCTAGCTTCTATATTTGCACCATCTCTCGTTGCCTAGAGTTCCATACGATTGTTTTTTTTTTTACGTTTAAAGAGCAACGATTAATTTCTACCGTGATAGAACTACTGTCTCAGTGGAGGCAAGAAAGTTTTTGTAATCTCTTGGTGAAGGCTAATTCGAGTGTAAACGCCTTCCTTTAAATCTTTACATTCGAAAGTAGACTTTTTCCAAATAAATCTGATCCCATATATACAGTATCTGATTCTTCCAACAAGGAGTAGAACAATGACATTCAACGCAAAATACTCTCAGATCAACACGCCTCTGTGTTCATGAGCCTTTTGCGTAACAAGTCAAATCGATTGCGCAACTGTCCACTATGAACTTTACATGATCTTATCAACGTGTAGGTCCTTCCGTGCATTTCTAACTATTAGTTACCAACAGTGAAAGAGAATAGAATCTTTTGAGGGTGCTAAACTGGTGTGAATCCAAATTCTCTTTGCAAGCTTTCAAGGAAATGCATAATAAATAGACGGAGGAGTTACTTATCAAATATTGAGAATCATAGAGTTGATACTTTACGCAAGGTTACTTCTGCAGACCACTCCATCCAGAAAATTTGTTTCAATTTAGTAACGTTACAGGACCCCAAGGACAACAGTGTTACACACTGATGGGTTTTCAATCCTGTATAAAAATTCGTTATTATTATTATTATTATTATTATTATTAATTAGAGGGGTGGAAAGATCGGGAAGTAAAGTTTTTTATTTGCTTCAATACTGATGACTCTAAAAGTCACCTGATGTTATTTGGTTTGCATCATGTTATTTTAAAAAAACGTCTAGAAGAGGCTATAAAATAGTAATCTACAATCGTTTTTTGGCAGATGGAACAGAGCAGAAATTTCACTTGTGAAGCTAACGAGACTGGATTGGGTGTGAAAGTCCTAGCTGAGGAAAGCATTAAGGTTTCAACTGGAGAAGAACCAAGGGGTGTTCAAAGTCCTGACAACAACATCGAGAAATACCAATGTCAAAGCGAACATCAATTTTCTCCTGATGCAGGGACTAAAACTGAAGGGTTTAAAGGAGAATCGAGAACCCCCGGGTGCGATGAGCCTCATCCCGATGAAGAGGCTGGAATAACGCCTCATTCTGATAACGAGTCTCACTACGACAGAGGCTGGGCCTGGGTAGTCTGTGCTACAGCAGCTTTGATGGAGTTCTTCGTTGGTGGAATGATAACAAGTTCCGGAGTGATCTATGCGGCTTTAATTGAAGAATTCGACAAATCAAGGGTAGATACAGGTATTATTTTGTGATACTGTATTTGATAACTAATAATTTCGGGCTCATAGGACTTTCACCTCTATACCTGAAACACCTCACAACTGACAAATGTTGCAATTCACTCCGTTATGCGTCTTTAACTTTTTCGTCTTTTACGATTCTCTCGATGAAAATTTCTTGATCATGTATATCTAAAGAGATTTTAAGTTTCTGAGAGGTTTCTTGTAGAAATTTGTAAAAAAAAAAACTATCGATCGAACCGTCCTTCTCTCCTCCACAAATCCAATTAAGTTTTTCCATTTTTTCCCCTATAGCCTGGGTGAGCGCCTTAGCTGTTTCCACGTACTACGGCTTCTTCCCACTCGGCACCGTCCTTAGTGAGCGCTTTGGATGCTGGGTAGTTGCCTTAGTTGGTTGCCTGGCCTGCTCTATCGGTTTGCTTAGCTCCTCTTTTGCCACCAGTTTCCCATTACTGTACTTCACCTACAGCTTGCTTTGGGGCCTGGGCGCCTCTTTGGTCTACTTCGCAAACCTCTTGATACTCACCAAGTACTTCAAAGCGAGGCTTGCATTCGCTAATGGACTCATAGCCCTTGGTGGTGCTATCGGTGGAAGTGTATTGAGTCCCAGGATCCAACAGATGTTTATTCACATTGGACTAGCAAATATGTTTCGCGTGCTTGCGGGCGCTTATCTTCTCCTTTCTGCATTTTCAGTTGTCTACCGCCCGAGGCGTAGTGTTTTGCCTCAACTCAGTAACGTCATAACCGCGCATGTCGAGAAGAGGCGTCTTTTTGACTGGGGAATTTTAAAAAACAAAGCATTCTTGATGTGGATCGTGGTTGTTTCCATCTTCATGCTTGGATACATGGTCCCCTTTGTACATCTGGTGAGATTTGAAAGCTTTTTTCGGGTTTGTCCATAGTCAGATTTATTCGGTTATGTTGGCACAACAGAAATTTGTGTGAGAGGAGTTCGAATTGGAAATCGTTCAATTGCAATCGCTCTTCATTTGTAACTTTACCAAAACAAATAACCTTCAACACCAATTATGAACTGCTTAAAATATTTATACGACTTATTTGTTTTCTACGTTTATTTTCATTTCCTCAGGTGCGCCTTGCTGAGGACATTGGAATCGACAAGACGCGAGCCTCTCTTCTTTTAACATTCGTGACAGTTGGATCGGCACTTGGTCGTGTCATCTTCGGGCGCATATCGGATATCCGTCGCTTCAATCGCATGTACATCGTTCAGTTGGCGTTCTTGGTCATAGGATTGAGCAACTTTGTCGTAACGGTCACTAAATCCTATCTCATCTTAGCTATGAATGCGTTTACATTTGGATTATTTGCCGGAGCTTACCTGATCCTCAATCCTGTGATAGTATGTGACATTCTTGGTCCGAACAAAGTGTCGTACGGCTTAGGAATGTCTTTCTTCTTGCTTTCTATACCTCGCACAGTAGGACCGCTGATCGCCGGGAGAATATTTGACGGCCTGCAAAGCTATGCATTTGCTTTCTACATCCTTGGAGGCACGACTTGTCTATCAGCCTTCTTGGCTAGCTTTGTTTCAATCTTGATTCAAAGAAAAGTCGACGTTAAAAGTGAGGGTTGTAAAAACAATGAATCTTCGGCAGAACCTGACTTCTGTCATAAATAGAACGACTACCCAATTTTCTGTCCACAATGGAACCGTCCAAGTCCAAGTCCAAGTTTATTTCGCACTATTCAAATGAATTTGTGTTAGCTCGCTAGATTCCGGATGAGGTGGTCCCGGTTCAAACAATTTTCGGGTCATTGCTCAGTTTACTTTTGTCATATTTTCTTAAGCAGAAACACCATGTTTGGGAACCACGCGCCTCATACTAATATTCATTGGAGACATTTACTAACTACTCTGAAAGTTTGAGAATTCCGCGGGTGATCCGCCTCGTTAGCGGGGTATCCGAGTACACACTGATTGATACTTGTACCGAAGTACCATTTGTGTCGCTTTAACCGATATGATTTCATATCAAGGAGAAAACAACCAACGGTTTTTGACTGAGATGATTTTTTACATAGCCAGAACTCAAACTTGCATGAAATAGTAAACGGCGAAGTAAATCAAAAGATACAGAACATATGCCAAAGGAAAGAGTTTCCTGCAGTGTCTATCGATCTTACACGGTTTCCTTTTAGGAAAAAAGGTTGGATTGTTTGAAATTCTTGCATTGCCTGCCCGCCGTTTAATTGAAAACCAAGGTTTTGTAGACTTAGTCAATGTTGAGACGAAGCTCGGAGAGTGGTTAGAATTTTCGTCGCGATTATTTCTTTCCTGCAAAAATGAGAGAGACAACACATGAAAATCAGGTCTGAAAAATGAAAATGTCTGCGCGCCGATCCAGAATGTCCTCCGGTTATGATTGAGCATGGAGCCAGGCTCTTGTATTACTGTAGAAGTCGTCTGTGCAATGATGCTTTCAAACAACATCTTACGAAATATTACTTGGAAGCTATGTTGCTATGAAAAGTAATTATTTGTTGGTCGTTTCATTTCCTAAGAGATTTTTATAATATTTTTTACAAAATACTTCAAGAAGTAAATTGTGTGAACTGAGAAGTATGTTTTATAACTTAATTTACTTGTTTTTGATGATTACTTACGACTTGTTTGGGATCAAAAATTCTTCGAAACGTGCCCCTTTCTTGAAAATTTTTTCCAACATCATTCATTTCCTGAAAAATCACAGGTGGGTTATCGTGTGATGCAACTTGTTTATCCTTTGGTCCTCTTTCTCTGTTCGACGAATATGCATTTGCAAAAGAGCAGATCACTGCAAACTCCACTAAAGCGGCGAACACAAAAAGAAAACTTCCCAAGATAAACAAATCGATTGCTTTCACGTAGCCGACTCTCGGCAGGGTCGACTGAATACCGAACATGAGCGTGGTGATGGCAAGGACTGTCGTGATTCCGAGCGATACCCGAGCTGGAACCGAACGCTCATCGATCCAAAAACCAACCCAGCTCAAAGCCACGATAAGAACTGTGGGGACGAATTCTTGAAGAACGTAATAACCGATTTGTCTCTGAAGATGGAATTTTGCCAACAATGTCGAAAAATAACCTAAAAAAGTATTGAAAGGAAAGAAAAGTGTTGATCATTGACAAATTCAGTCTCTACTTTTTTTTTCAGGATCTCACACTGCATACGATGAAGAATCGTCATAAAATTTGACTTGGCTCCTCGTCCCACCCCTCCCTCCGAATAACTGTCTTAACTAAATTTTGGGCGGTTCGACTTCATAGCTTTGGTTTGTGTATGTGTGGAAATGTAACAGATCTCTGTCTTCCCACATCTCCCTCTGCTCGCTCATAGAGTGAATAGCCCATTTCCGAATTAGCCTTGGCCTCATTTTCAAAACGAGTCCTGGTGCTCATCCATTCATATGATTATAAGTTTTCATTTACATGCAAATTAAACTCATTTTCACAAGAATGGTTGGGCACCAGGCGTCGTTTTGAAAAAGAGGCCAAGGTTAATTCGAAAATGGGCAATTGAAAACAGCACAACCTCATAAACGGAAGTCACGTGACATAACACTTTCGCATGCATGGTTAGGTTAAAAGTGAAATGGGAGACTTAATTATAAGGGTTTTAGGAGAGAGTGTAATAAGTTCGTGACGAAGTGAAAGTTGACATTAGAGTGTACCCCACAATTTCGGTATACCCAGCCATCGTTTCGTAATTTACCTGTACTATATCTAGTACTTTTCATGAAAATTTCTACTCTCTCGAGAGTGTACTGTGGGATCTGTAGTTCACTGGACACTCCAATCGAATCTTTATCACCAGTCAACCAAGACAAGATTATCTCTTCTGTGGAATAGGAGTCTGAAATAATGAGAAAAAAAAAATATATATATATATATATATAGAAGTAGAAACTTGTAAGGAGTCCCACAAGCAATGCTGATCAGTCTCCAACGCGCTGCTTGGAGGATCACTGAAGCGATCGTGGGCTCTTGAACTAACGTGAATAAAAGCAGAAATATGATGGTCAAGAGGCCAACTCCAATGTAGCTTTGTTGGTTTATTAGCTCGACGATTCGAAACGTCGAGCTAAGAAACCAACAAAGCTACATTTGAGTTGGCCTCTTGACCATCACATTTCTGCTTTCATATATATATATGAAAAGTTAAAAAAATTGCGAGGATGGACAACTTCTGACGTACAAATATAAATAAATTTTAATAAAAAACGTTTCGGTCAGAGACCTTCTTCAGTTATTTACAACTTTTGAAATAAAAAAAGAGCATTAAATAGGATCGGAGTGCTAATGATTACATAATTACAGATAACGACTAATGAACTGGTGCTAATAAACAAAAAACCTAATTACAAAGAAAGCAATGGAAAAAATACAAGGAACACGG